GTCGATATTCTTGTTCCCCGCCGGTGGAAACAGATTGGAGATTGACAGGTGATAAGGTATCACTTGTGCGTAAAATGTCTGGCTTTCTGGAAATCTCGCAGGGGTCAGTTCCCACTTTCAGCTTCTTGCGTTATCCCTCAAAGCAATCATATCATGTGGACATCAAAGACCCTCGATACTCCTCCGAACGATCTCAAAACCGGCGGCTGTCGGGAAGAGATGGTGGATGCAGACGAATTCGACTTGTTGACCACGGAGCGTGATCCACCGCCGACCCGAGATGAAATCAGGAAGTTGCCTCAAGAGCTCAAGAAAATGCGCAAACTCGAGCTTCATCGAAAGCGTATGTCACGCTTTCGTGGTAGACGTGCAGTGGAGAAGAAGAACATGCATGAGGAGTTCCATCGTCTTCTGGAGCAGCGTCTTGTCAATCTCCGTTGTAGCAGTGTTTGTGGAGGTCCCGAGAGAATCACTAAAGTTCAGCGACAGTTGCAGCAGCTTGTGTTGGAGCGCGAGTGGTTTCGAAGCGAAAGCGAGACTTTACGACAAAATCTCGCACGAGTTCGTAATTTCACGCAAGTTTTTCAGAGTGCGAGGACAAGCGTCGATCCTGACCTCAATGAACCCGATTCGATGAATACCCCCTGTCACATTACAGTGCGTCGTATCCACTCGATAGGAAACCAGTCCAGGAACAAGCTGGCTTCCGTGTGCATTTCAGATCCAGCCCATCTTTTTTGTTTCATCCGTTCAATAGACAGGAATTTGACTCAATTCTTCTCCGCCACGACGACAACACGGCTAATAGTTCGTGGGATCTCGCTATGGGCTGGTGTTTTGCTGGGTTGGAACGTCTACCACAGCAAAACCACCCTGGGAAAGAATGGTCATTCGCTCATGTCCAATGTAGTAAACGAATGTACTGTTCGATTGACTACATCGCTAACCGCTTGACCAACAAGGATGGCACGAGCAGGTGGCCTATGCTGCCAACAGAGAGAGAGATAACAACTTCACAACAGATATCGACATCCAGACGCTGCAGCGGTTCGATGAAGACCCGTACGTGATTGTGCGCAATTACTCCGGAGGTTTCAACT